CCTTTGTTCAGCTCTCGCGCCGGGGAGTTTTTTTGCCTTGTGGGTTTCACTCAAGTCTTCATTATACCTCGCTGCTAACTTGTTTTCTGGAGAACTGGCATCTGGATGGCTTTGTGTGGGACTCCACTTTCTCCATATACCTACCTACTCTGTTGGTAAACATTCAGTTCTCTTTATCGCGGAGTTTCAAACGCATGTACACAAGTACACTCATACATACTCACGTACACACACCTTCATGCACGCATACGTACACGGGCACAAGTACACGCACGCACACCCACACGTATACAAGTGCAACGACGCACACACTAGTACACGGACACAAGTACATGCAAGCACACAAGTGCAACGACGCACACACCCACGTACACGCACGCAGCATACACACGCACACACAGAAAGTTTTTATTAAGACACAAATAATCTTACACAAGAATCACCACGAAGTCTGTGTCAACGAAAAATAATAATTAAAAACGTATAATCAAGTGATAATGCAGATCATACAGGGAAATTAACTGAGACAATTAATCTCAAACACGGATTAGTATGAGAATTTCAAATACATGTAGAAACACGCTCTTCCAAACCATGGTCTAATGGTAAATATATACTACTATATGGGAAACACTCCTCGACCAAAGATAGAATTAAAAAGAGACATACCCTGGCCGCTCACGCGAGCAATTTTAGATGGCAGAGCACCATCTAGTGGAACAAAAATCAACTAAACGTTTATTTAACTTGTTCCGTGATATTTGGCCAATTTCTTGATAAATCAAGGGGGAAAAAAAACCAACCACGTACGCGTTTCGGGTTGTTGCCCTCGTCAGCCTGGTGCATAGATGGTGATTTTAATGTGTAGAGATGGTGCATAGGTAGAAATGTACGGGTGCAGATGGTGAAATGAAGAAAATACATGCGCCACTGAACACTACTGAACCAGGCTTGATGTGCCTCCTCAATCAAGCTCTTCCAAGACTGATCGAATTTGATTTTTCTTTTCCAGAGCTGTGATCCAATGTTTCTCTC